TAAACCATGGTTGAATAATGACTGTAAACAGACAAGAAAGAGTAGGGAAGAAGGCAGATATATATTTTCGCCGACATCCTACAGTCCATAATTTAGATAAAGTTAAAATTTGTACATACCTTCTACTATTACGACATGTAATAACGCAAGGAACCGATTCTAACGTGGGTTTGTTCCTGAACCAAGCTGATTTCCTCAAAACTGATCCTTTCTCAAGCAGGTTGTTTATCGTGATTCAAACCCACGAAAATCCAGGAAGGTGACATAGTAAAGTCTGATAGAAAATTTTATTTCATTTTGCTATATACACAGGTACGTACAATTTTCATTACTTGTGCAAAGTTTGGCCTGCATTTGAAAGGAGGACTATTGGGATTCGAGGACAAATACTCATGAAGTCAATCACTAATTATCTGGCCCATCATATAGCTGCTATTGCTGAGTGCGGCCCTAAACTATAATGAAACAACCAGAATAAACAATTGAAAAATGAGCACGGATCACATAATACCCCGCCTTCCTACTTTGGGACATGGAAACAGAGGAGTAGGAGTAAGTCTTTGTGAGCTACTGATTCTTGGTATCCTTTGTGAGACTTATATATATATATATATATGTAGTCCCTCACAAGGATCAGCAGCTCACAAGACTCTCCCTTGACTCAACCAAACTTTTATATGCATTTTAGATAATAGCTTTGCTCTTGCACTCATTTACATTAATAATTTATGGAAATATTATTTTTGCGGTTTCCCCTGACACTTGACATAACATTGAACTTTGACTGTCTCATGCTGTACATGATGAAGTGGACGTTGATGCAGAGTGTCACTGACTCTCAATGTAGACACAGAAAATACATCACATGCTGCTGGACATGGGAGGAAATACCTAATCTAGATACAGAGATCACATATTGGGCACACATTTAACAGCACCGTGAAAAGGAAGATCACACTTTAAATGGAATCATAATTGGCATAAGCATGACATATGTGGGCCATGATTTACCAGTGATTTACACCATCCTTCCAGCTATTGGTGATGGAAGAGAAATTCAGCCATAAATTAAAAGCAATACATATCTCTACTATGCCAAAAAGCGGCAAGTTTACTTTTAAATGTGTTAGATCTCTATGTACCCCCTCCTCAGGAGTGACAATAATTTTGCCAATATTTCAACCCCCTTTGATGGTGTACAACCACTAACAATCGAAGCTGCATAATCTCAACTAACGTAAACTACCAATTCAGGACACAGAGCGACAGCAGATTCCTAGGAAACTATACGCCGCATAGTCTCCTAGAGTCAGCTTTTAGACCAGTTGAGACGTAAACTCACACCTCATATCAAGTCAGAAAATATTGCAGTGCTGGCGTCCCCTCATATTTTGGGCCACGTATAGTATGAAATTGTATACACCCTCGATAAATAGACTAAGAACAACTTGAGGCACCCTGTTAAGTCGAAGATGCCTTCGGTAGTCTCGTGTTCCTGTCAGTTAAGAAAATCAGGATCGTTAACACTCCAGTCTGATCCACTTTCGCCTAGCAGGAAACCTTCTCCTCTTGTTCTTCTTGTCCGTGTAGGCTGGAATGGGGTTAAGCCATAGTTGCCTTCAGACCAATATGAAGAGTGGTTATCAAACTTGTGTGTTAGGGGTGATTAATATCCCTATCAGGAATATACGAGTTCTTGTCGAGCTAAAGGATAAAGAACGCTGGTTATTCAGGACGCATCATCATCTATAACACACAAGAAAACCACTTGATCATGTCTTTTGTCGTCCAAACCTCATGTTCCTGTGGACTTTCTTTCCATAGGAATATTCCCAACACAATTATACCCCCGCCTACGAAGTAACAGGGTGTATATAGCGTCTGTCCCTGTCCTTCCGCCTTTCAGTCCCGAAACATTATCCGAACATATCTCTTTAAAGTTTGCATGCTAGGTTCACCAAACTTAATACACAAGTTAATCATGACCCACATATGTGCCTTTATGCCAAATATGATTATTTAAAGTGTGTGATCTCTAATTTTCACGGTCTTGTTAAATGTACCAATATGTGGTCTCTGTATCTAGATTAGGTATTTCCTTCATGTCAAAGCAACATGTGATGTATTTTCTGTGTCTACATTGAGAGTCAGTGACACTCTGCACCATGTCCACTTCATCATGTACAGCATGAGACAGTCAAGTTCACGTTATGTCAGGTGTCCAGGGAAAACACAAAATAATATTTCTACAAATTATTAATGTAAATAGTGAAAGGCAAACTATTATCTAAAATGCATATTAAGTTTGGTGGAATCAGGAGGAGGCCTTAGGATAAGTTGATCTCGTGAGACTATATATAGTCTCACAAGGATCATCAGCTCACAAGACTTACTCCTTCACTCCGTAATTTCAATGTCCCAAAGTAGGAAGCGGGGGCATGTGATCCGTGCTCATTTTTCACCTTGTTTATTCTGGTTGTTCATTATAGTTTAGGGCCGCACTCAGCAATAACCCAGCTATATGATGGGCCAGATAATTCTAGTGATTGACTTCATGAGTATTTGTCCTCGCATCCCAATAGTCAATTCTTTCATATGCAGGTAAATTAATGAAAATTGTACGTACCTGTGTATATAGCAAAATGACAAATAATTCCTCTGATGAACTTTTAATATGTCACCTTCCTGGATTTTGTCTTGGTTTGAACCACGATCAACAACCTGTAAGAGAAAGGATCAGTTAAAAAATCAGCTTGGTTCAGGAACAAACCCACGTTAGAATCCGTTCCTTTGCGTTATTATAGTAATAGGTAGAAGGTATGTACAGGTACACTGCGATAGGTCAAGAAAACGCCCAATCAGCTTCTCACAAATTAATATGGCGACAATAGCCAATTCACTTCCACAAGAAACTGCCGAGGGATTGTACGATAATCACTATAGCATTGGCATGTGTTTATGAATTACCGTCATATAAGGAAAGTACCATGTTCATGGAAAGGTGAGCGTATCATGCTCCCCTGGTGGCACCGCATGTCATAAACACAGCAAGCAAAGGCCACTCAGTTGTTCACCAAATGAAAACATGTGATATGATACAAATCAAAATGCACCGGGCATAACCACAGGCCCTCGTGTCTTTGCAAAGATTAATCTTTTTGTTTTGTTGAGATGACCCCCGACTCAAAATGCCACACTCTACTATACATTATGACAACACGTCGGTATACCCCACCCGCTTGCTTTGCCGATCGCTACTCTACCATCGCATGTAATCGATTAAACGTAATGTGAACATGATCATGGATGAAAGGCCTATTGATCCCCACTCATGAAACCTACCAATTTTTTATTGTTATTTCAAGTCCACTGAAACACGATTTTGCCCCTCAACTAACGATCTTGACACAAATGGATGACGAGGAGTCCGCACAGAACGGGGGCGTGGTCGAATCAAGCCCTCTGATTGGTCAACGCATGCAAAGCGGCACATTCTCTTTAAATTCGCGGGAATTTTTCTTTTCATCGAAGGCTTAATGTAAGAATATTTTTCGAGCAATGGTTTCTCAAAAGAAAGCATCAGTTGTAAATGTCTCCTAAACAAGGATGAACCAACCAGAGGGCTTGCTTCGACCACACACCCGTTCTGTGCGGACTCCTCGTCAACCATTTGTGTCAAGATCGATTAGCTTGAGGGTCAAAATGGTGTTTCAATAGACTTGCAGAAATAACAATAAACAACGTCTGTCATGATGCATCAAATTTGGAAATGTCCTCAACATCTTTACAATAAAACTTTGAAATTCTTTTACTGAGGCCTTGAATGTTACAACCTTGATCGGTGAACGTCTGAGCAGGACAATCATACACATGTGTTCGATAAATTCAATTCACTCATTACTGTGTTTACATCAGTATTTGTTTGCACAGTTTCTTTTTGTGACTAGTATGAAAGCATTGGCAGAGTCAACTTGACTTGACTTAAATGCAGGAGATAGAGGAAACAGACACTGAATGATTCGTGGTACAACATCCACTTGGTACAAGACTTAGCTTGTAGATCTTGCTCTGAGAAATATTCCTTTCGAAATCATTTAAAGTGTTGAAAGAAATTATCAGTATCAACTGACATGGACATTTATATCATAAAACTATACACTATCACGGTTCATTGCTTTCAAGGCTAACCTATCGATTTGGTAACCCATGCTTGTCGTAAGAGGCGACTAACGGGATCGGGTGGTCAGGCTCGCTGACTTGGTTGACAAATGTCATCGGTTCCCAATTGCGCAGATCGATGATCATGCTGTTGATCACTGGATTGTCTGTTCCAGACTCGATTATTTACAGACCGCCGCCGTATAGCTGGAATATTGCTGAGTGCGGCGTAAAACTAAACTCACCCACTCAGAAACATTCCACATTAAGGCTCTATACCTTTTATCTGTACACCACTGGCATACACCCATACACAATGGGGACAGGGAGCCTGAAAGTATGGTGTAACAGCAACAAAGAAGATGATGTCGCACACAGAGAGCTATTATGAATTTATGATGTACGCACTTGGACAGAAACCTTAGTCAATATATCACAATATGTATTGCAAAATCTCTTGAATTATTGCAATAAATCGCAATATGAGAATCAGGGCAATATCCAGCCCTAGTCACTAGCTACTGGGTGGAGGGTGACCATGGTCGCGCGACCTGGAACCACTTTCAGACGGTTGGACCTCGCACTACAAACCACGTGGAAGGCTGGCACAGGAAGCTAGGTCTGCAGATTGCAGGAACCAGCCCCAGTCTGTTCAAGGTGGTGGACTTTTTGAAGCAAAATCAGTGTATGTGTTCAATTAAACTCACAATTGTTTTAATGCTTGTTACTGAGGCTAAGGACAACAAGGTGAACCTACAGACAAACTGCTCTATTTGAATCTGCTAGCACCATTTTCACGTCCATATTCAGAATATCTCAATAAACATATTTACACCACTCGCCTGTATGCCCCCGGCCTTCCCATATCTACACCAGGTTGCAAAATGGTCGCAGTTATTTGTGAAGGGTTCATAATCTTTCTCCCCCAGTCGGCTGCGTGCATTCTTCACAATCCGAGACTTACTTTTGGGTCTGAAAACACCGAACGTTCTGTTTTTAAGTTGACATTTTTCCCTCAGCGGAGAAGTAATGTCGGAGTTTAAATCGTAATATTATAAAGCTAGGTTAGCTAGAGGCATGTAACTACAAGTAGGATTTGTTAATAATAAATAATCAAAGAGGAATGCACAAGGCAAGGGTAGCTAGAGACATATAACTACATGTACATGTAGAATGTGCGGAATACATAAAGGTAAACAGAGTATGTACCGTCACCTGATTTGGTCAAATTAAAATGGTTCATGTGATATATGTTTCTGCTTGGAAAGTTTGTAAGTTTGTTTCGGTTCTATTCTATCTTGTGTGTACATATTTAGTGTAGAGATGGACAAGAGGATATGTTTCCTTCACAGGTGCTGGGTGAAGTAAAGGGTTTAAACCATGTAGTGGGACGACTCTGGTTCTCGTCGCCGTGGCGTTTCGGACAATAATCTTTACTCACTCAAACTAAAGATCTATTACTTTTTAAGATTAGTAAAATGGACTTCTTTGATTGGCATTCTAGAAGATGGGTAGATGAAGAGTGAGGGCTATTTTTATGGATATACAACTTCTTTATTCTGTATAGGCAACGTTTCGACATAGATTCTAATGTCGTTGTCAATCAAGCTTGACAACGACATTAGAATTATGTCGTAACGTCGCCTATACAGAATAAAGAAGTTGTGTATCCATAAAAATAGTTCTCATTGACAACGACATAAGAATCTACTTAATGTCCTCATCCGACATTGATGGATTTTAGGCATTGAATAAATCGATTCGGCACCAGAATTGTGCAATGAACTTGGGTCAGGACAACACTATACCGTTTGGTCAAATCACGTAATGTTTTACACTTATGTGACACTTGTCTCATATGACTTATTGTTAGTATTAGAGAAAACGATCAATTGCAAACCTCATTTCCTTATCCCGTCTGTTATCAATGTAGAAACTGCACTGCTGAATCACATCACTCAATTTTTCTCCCACAACTTCTTTATCCTTTGTCCGGTGTATCACCATTCCGTCACCTGAAATTATCCATAGATTTCTTCAAACACATGGCCTTGGAAAGAATTTTTTTCCAAATATGTCAGTGGGTTTCACAAAAGCAAAAAGCGTTTGAGACCTGCATCACTTTTGGCTCGCCTTTACATATAAAGCTGACACGCAGTGTTTTAAGCCAAATATTGTTCAAACCTCTACGCAATTATGTTTACAGGATTAAGTTCTGATTACGAAAAGAAACGTTCATAAATTAATTGTCTCTCATGTAATAAAGCAAATGCATAGAGGAGTGCAATATCAAGCGAGAAAGTACGTTTGTTTGTTTTTTGTTTAACGTCGCGCTCAGCTATATTCCTGCTATACATGGCGGCGGTCTGTAAATAATCGAGTTTATTATAGTGTCACGTCGATGTTTACATAATATATAAAATCTACTGTTTCACATATGAGACATCTGCCCGGCCTTTAAAGGCCTACGAGACACATAAAATCCATAAAAGAATGCATAGATAAAATATATCCCTATACACACATAGTAAAACTTAGAGATAAGATGGATGGTGTAAATAATCGAGTCACAGACAATCCACCATCATAAGCATCGATTCTATACAATTGGGAAACAATGACATGCGTCAACCAAGTCAAAGAGTCTGACCATCCGATCCCGTTGGTCACGTGATACGACAAGCTTGGGTTGCTGAGGATCAATTCTAATCCGGATCTTCACGGGTTTGAAACATACGAAGAACAAAAAATAAGGGAACCCTAGTAACCTGTTTATTGAACCAGGCTTTATATTCCAAAAAATCTTAAACACTTAGGATTTAAGTCATTATAGAGTGTGACCACATATGCAGCAACACATGCGCGGGCATACTTGAGATTATGCGGCGTATCGTTGCCCTAGGAATCTGCTGTCACTCATCCTGAATTGGTAGTTTAGATTATCAACTTTGATTGTTAGTGGCTGTACCCTCAAAGGGGGTTGAAATATTGTAAAATTATTGTCCTCCTGAGAGGGTCCTAACACATTTAAAGTAAATTTAAACTTGCCACTTTTTTAATGGTAGAATATGTGTGCTTTTAATTTATGGCTAGATTTCTCTTCCATCACCAATGGCTGAAGGGATGGTGTAAATCCAACTAGGGTCCATGCAGGTAGCAAAGGTACTGTAAGTCCCCATGGACCCTAGTATGGTGATCTACCTTCAGTTGTTGGTGATCCACCTTCAGTTGTTCGCGATCTATAGCCTATTTTTATATTGTGTTGTCCCCTATAGTTAAAACGTTTTAGATTTAATTACTAGTTTAACATACATATCTGTGATATTCTAGTTGTTTTACTGTCCATCGTCGGCAGGTTTTTATATCATATATATATATTTAATTTCAATATCAAATGTTCTCGTCACGATATATGGCTGAAATATTGCCGATGTGACGTTAAATATTAACTCACTAACTCATCCTGAAGCGCAACACCAAGTGCCTGGAGATTAGCAGGCCCTGGGTGCCGTGCACGAACTCTCCTACCCATCTATCGCACAAGTGTTCCATGGGCGACATGCCTTGAGATCCTGCAGGCCACTGAAGTGTCACAATGTCTTGTTGTCTGACAAAGTCAACCGCAACACGAGCCCTATGGTGTCTTGCTTTATCATCTTGAAAGATGAAGTCTTACTGTTGGACATCGGAGCAACAACGGGGCGCAAGATTTCGTTGACTTAACGCGACCTGTCAGGCTACCGGGAACAAGAAAAAGATCCGTCCTCCGATCGTAGGAAACACCTAACTAAACCATAACACTCCTTCCACCGAAAGAATCATGCTCCATGATCCTAGTGTTACGATTGTATCTCTCCCCCACATCGTCGACAGTTTGCGACCATCAGTAACTGAACCTGGAATCGTCAAAGAACATGAATTGACGCCATCCACGTAAAAGCCAGCCCAGACGTTGTTGACAACAGTGTCACAGTGTGCTGTAGGAAAGTCGTATCCCAGTTCAAGCATGGCATTCTCGCTTCAGTTCTGGCGTAGTAATGAACCGGTTACGAAGTGCAACAATGCATAGCCTTTCGATGGCGTCCGCGACCCCTCCTCATTTTAATGTCACCAGTCTGACGGTGTTGAGCAGCAAGCCTTTGAGATTACGCTTCTTCGACCTCTCTCGAAAACCTCGAAACTTGTACTCGATTCTGGGATTCTCCGGACAACATTCCTATACATTGCCATATTTTAGCTAATGTTAAATAGTGTCGCCGTGGCATTTTGTGTGTTGCGACACTCACCTGCGAATCTTGCCTTAAGTAGCCTTCCATACATGTAGTGCACATGCGCTCGTGATTTGAAAGCATTTAGGGAGACAGTAGTCAGTGTGAAATTGTTCTGGGTTTGGAGTCAGCTTTTAGACCAGTTGAGACGTAAACTCACACTCTCATATCAAGTCAGAAAATATCAGTGCTTGCGTCCCCTTATATTTTGGGGTCACGTTTAGTATGAATTGTATACAACTGATAAATAGATCATGAACAACTTGAGGCACCCCGTTAAGTCGAAGATGCCTCGGTAGTCTCAGGTTCCTGTCAGTTAAAGAAATCAGGATGCGTAAACATCTGTCTGATCCACTTTCGCCTAGCAGGAAACCTTCTCCTTGTTCTTCTTGTCCGTGTAGGCTGAATGTAGTTGTCAGTTGCCTCAGTCCAATATGAAGAGGTTATCAAACTTGTGTGTTTAGGGGTGATTACACGAGTCTTGCCGAGCTAAATAAAAAATGCTTATTCAGGACGTATATCATCCTACAACACACAAGAAAACCACTTGATCAAGTCTTTGTTGTCCAAACTCATGTTCCTGTGACCTTCTTCCATAGGAATATCTCAACATAATTATACCCCCACTTACGAAGTAACAGGTGTATATAGCGTTCATTCTGTCATTCCGCCTTTCCATCTCGAAACATTATCCGGAACATATCTCTTAAAGTTTGCATGCTAGGTTCACCAAACTTAATACACAAGTTAATCATGACCCACATACGTGCCTTATGCCAAATATGATTATTTAAAGTGTGATCTTCACTTTTCACGGTCTTGTTAAATGTACCAATATGTAGTCTCTGTATCTAGATTAGGTATTTCCTCCATGTCAGCAACTTGTGATGTATTTTCTGTGTCTACATTGAGAGTCAGTGACACTTTTCATCAGCGTCCACTTCATCATGTACAGCATGAGACAGTCAAGTTCAATGTTATGTCAAGTGTCCAGGGAAAACACAAAAAATAATATTTCCATAAATTATTAATGTAAATAGTGAAAGGCAAAACTATTATCTAAAATGCATATAAAGTTTGGTGGAGTCAAGGAGAGTCTTGTGAGCTGCTGATCCTTGTGAGACTATATATATAGTGTCACAAGGATACAAGGATCAGCAGCTCAAAAGACTTACTCCTTCACTCCGTAATTTCCATGTCCCAAAGTGGGAAGCGGGGGTATGTGATCTGTGCTCACTTTTCAATTGTTTATTCTGGTTGTTCATTATAGTTTAGGGCCGCACTCAGCAATAATCCAGCTATATGATGGGCCAGATAATTTAGTGATTGACATCATGAGTATTTGCCCTCGCACCCCAATAGTCACTCCTTTCAAATGCAGGTAACTTTGCACAATTAATGAAAATTGTACGTACCTGTGTATATAGCAAAATGACAAAAAAGTCTTCTGTAGAACTTTAATATGTCACCTTCCTTGATTTCGTCTTGTTTTGAATCACGATAAACAACCTGTAAGAGAAAGGATCAGTTAAAAATCAGCTTGGTTCAGGAACAAACCCACGTTAGAATCCGTTCCTTGCGTTATTATGTCGTAATAGTAGAAGGTATGTACAGGTACACTGCGATAGGTCAAGAAAACGCCCAATCAGCTTCACAAATTAATATGGCGACAATAGCCAATTCACTTCCACAAGAAACTGCCGAGTGGATTGTACGATAGTCATAATAGCATTGGCATGTGTTTATGAATTACCGTCAAATAAGGAAAGTACCATTTTCACGAAAAGGTGAGCGTATCCTGCTCCACTGGTGGCACTGTCATAAACACAAGCAAAGGCCACTCAGTTGTTCACCAAATGAAAACACGTTTTATGGTACAAATCAAAATGCGCCGGGCACAACTTCTGTCATGATGCATCAAATTTCGAAATGTCCTCAACATTTTTACCATAAAACTTTGAAATTCTTTTACTGAGGCCTTGAATGTTACAACCTTGATCGGTGAACGTCTGAGCAGCACAATCATACACATGTGTTTGATTCAATTCACTCATTACTGTGTTTACATCAGTATTTGTTTGCACACATTTTTCTTTCCCGTGTGCACAGTTTCTTTTTGTGACTAGTATGAAAGCATTTGCAGAGTCAAATTGACTTGACTTAAATGCAGGAGACAGAGGAAACAGACACTGAATGATTCGTGGTACAACATCCACTTGGTACAAGACTTAGCTTGTAGATCTTGCTCTGAGAAATATTACTTTTAAAATCAAATATTTAGTTACAGTGTTGAAAGAAAATATCAGTATCAATTGACATGGAAACGTATTTTAGTTATTTCACGTTTCCTTACATTCTGAGATATTTTAGGTATAAGTATGGTAAAACTTTTGAAGAGATTGTGTTTGTTTATTTCAATCCATTAGAAAATTAAGCTATGTGACGTCACTGTCCCCAAACTACTATCTTTGAGTATACAGACGGGTATTATGTTTGTTGCAACCGAATTGGATGTATGGTTTCTGATTTGAGCCATCGCTTTATCAGCCTGAAAAATCCATGTTCTAAATAATGTTAACACGACACTGCGATATGGTGATAACGCGCAAGGGCGGTAGGTATTGTGATATGATGACACGATTTGGTGATGTATCGGCATTGCGATATGGCGATCTTGCTCAGTTGCATGTATAAAAGCGCGTACGTTGATTCATACTTAACATCAAATAATAGGAGAAGTTAGGTTTAATACGCGCATGAATACGAATCGGCTGTTTGAGGCCACAGGTCCTGTCTCTGTGTGGTTTTTATTTCGTGGTTTTTCTTTTTAAATTACATTATGGGTAATAAATAGAATAACCAACTCGGTACGAGTGATTACGGGAGGTATGCCCTCGTTAAAATAATGTTCAGTGACTCGCCAAGGCTCGGCACTGTGAACATTATTTCAACTCGGGCAAATTTCTCGTAATCACTCGTACCTGGGTGGTTATTCTCTAAATAGGTCAAGTTAACGCCCCATCTGCTTCCCAAATTATCATGGCGACAAAGCCTTTCAACTTCCACATGATAGTCGATTGTGCGATAGCCACTCTCATTATTGGCGTGTGTTTAGAATTACTGTCAAATAATGAAAATACCATGTTCACTGAAAGGAGTGCGTACCAGAATTGATAAATCTCCTTTATATATATTTGAAATTCTACACAATGCAAAAGGCGGGTCAATAAACATTCTAGGCGTAGGAATACATTTTGTCACGTTGCATGAATTTGGTGACTGATAAATGTTCCCTAATGAAGGAACAAGGTTATCGGTATTGGGAGACACACCAAGAAACAAAATCATGACAAAACTGGGATTAGAACCAGTTACTAAGGATGTTGCACGTTGGACAATACAATCTATTAAATGTTACAAATTCGGTCTTTTTATAGGCAGATATATTATATTTGGGAAACGCTTTCTTTCAGAACTACAAACAATTTTGGGGATGTAGTCCAATCTGAGATTCAAACCCGAATCGCTTAATCACCAGTAAACAGTCAATTACATTACGCACTCAGCCATCAAGGCCTTCACAAAATGTGAGTCTGACAACTATTATTTCTGATCACGCATTTTGTGTAGCCCTCTGATAAGTGTAAATGGACACTGCTCCTATGGCCGAAAGCTATGGATGCGAAATATATGTCTATTCACAACAAACTTTGTCTTACAGCAAATACATATTAACTCCAAAAACATGGTTGCCTCCCTTGGATCCGTCCGATGCACACGTAGGTGTGAGACCTCTCGCCAAAAACGTCCGAAAGTGATGGTTGAATAACACTTGATGAATTGAAAGACACCAAAAAAAGTGAGTTCGTGTACATTCAAACATTATTTCTCCAAAAAGAATGAATAAAAGTCTTTGTAACGGCTTTCATATTCACACCTGTAATCAAGACAGGTCAAAGGTGAGACCGTGCAGTACATGCGGTTTCACCTGTCATATCACTCAATGCAACCTGACGACACGTTAATCAGTGCTGTGTAAACTTGGATATTGATACTAAAAGCATGGCTCCTAAAAAGTCTGAACTTGCAGAAGTAACCCAAGAACTTTCAGATATCCAACAGGCTTTGTCAGAAATGCTGAGAAAGTCGGATTTAGAGGAATGAATTACCTCAGCGGTGGACACAGCTGTACAGTCGATAAGAAACAGCGTCAAGGCTGAACTAAAACGTGAGCTTATTGATGAACTCGGAATTTACCAACTTTGTGACGAAATGTCCGACTTAAAAGCTAAAAATGACAAGCTGTCCGTACTACTTAATAATCAGCAGAAAGAAAATTCCGAATTAAGGGCACTCTGTGAACAATCAATCCACCAGTCAAATGCAACATTCCGCCTGGCTAATAAAAACGAGCAATCCTCGCGAAAAAATAACATCAAAGTGTTCAATTTTACACAAACCAAAGATGAAGATTTGTTTAATACTTTCTCACGTGTGCTCAAAGAGAAAGGTGGTGTTTCTGTTAACAGAGAGGAGATTGTGGCGATTCAACGCATTGATCACGCAGACATAAGTATCACCAAGCCTGTGCTAATCCAACTTATATCAACAGAAGTGAAAATGAGAATAGTTAGCACAAGGAAACAACTGAAAGAAAATAAAGCTTTCAAATTAGCAGATGACGTCACGAGAGCGAACGTGATGCTGATTAACCGACTCAAGTCACGCCGACGCATTAACAATGCATGGTACTTCAATGGTAGAGTGTATGGTGAATCAGTGGACGGGAAGAAGTTTAAATTTCAACCATTCGACAAAGTGGACGTTGTGTCCTTGGTAAACCTTGACCTCGAGCCATTTTCACGCTTGCATTTTACATTTTACGAACGCACTCAGGACTTTATTGTGACAATGACTTGAAATCGTTTGTCTACTGTTGTTCTCACAACGTTTCTATTTGTTCACTGCTCTTTAATTTTAATATTGAAAAATATTGTGGACATCTTTTCTTTTCGTATGCAGGTTTTATTCTTCACTCAAAGTTGGAGTTGTATAACGTGCGTATATAGTGGAGACATGGTTCTACCCGTCTACCTGTAAAACATTTCATGATTTTTTAGCTTTGCGCGCTTTTTTCTCTATCTCTCTCACACACTTTTTATGTTTTCTGATAAGCCAGACAAGCACAAGTATGAAGTGCTAACTGAGTGTTTAGTCTGATTGTGCATTATATTTTCCTCACCTAACACTCTTTTGTCACACTTGGTTATTTTATGAACGCATTCATGACATAATTGTTTACTTTATGAATTAATAATACATTGATTAATCCATAGGTTATCCATATGATATTCTATATTGCTATATTTTCACACTTTGGTTAGACAATTCATGCCCGGAAATACTAGTAGGTATTTTGTTCGTCTCGCCAGTTTGCAGTTTTTGACCTGCTCTTAACTACACTGACATTTAATCAGGACATTCTACAATTCTCATCTGCGTAAGCAATATGATAGTGTTTGTTTGTTTTGCTGGTTGTTTATTTACTTTATTGGGGTGGGGTTGGGGTGTGTGTGTTCTATCAAGATTTTGATATTTTGGACCGAATTATCTCTACATTCCATATCTCCCCATTCCAAATCGGAGTGCACTTAGCCATTCCTTTTATTTTTAATCTCCCTTCTTTCAATCATGCATCATACTTTTCAATTCCGTCTTTTATAAGGCTAGGCACACATTTTACAAGCACTCAATTAATTATTAGATATGGCTGACTTATCAATCCTATCTATGAATGTAAAGGGTCTCCAGTCTGATGCCAACAAGCGAAGAGATATATTTAATTTTACTCGTAAGAAGTCATCTATAATATTTCTGCAAGAAACGGACAATACTGCTAAAGATGAACATAACTGTGGTTATGTTCATCTGAATGGGGTTGTCGATGTTATTTTGCACACTATGATACTAATTGAGAATATTTTTGAGTATGTTATTCATGAAACCGTTCAAAATCCAAACGGACGGTTTATAATATAAGAAAAATATCGATTTTCTGTGTTGAACATTAATGCCCCAAATAGCGACTCCCCAAATTTCTTTGCACAGTTAGGGGAAAAGCTAGAACAACTACTAGGTGCCATTTTCTGGGCTGGCGATTGGAATGTTCAAAAGTATTTTTTAGATACATTTTATTATACACATAGGAAAAACCAAATGGATAATAAAAAGATATGCGATATACAGGAAAAAAAGGAACTCGTCGATCCTTGGAGAATATTAAATCCGGATAAGTGTCAATATAAGTGGAGACAAAAAGTAAATTAAAACGAGGTTGCTTAGATTATTTTCTTATCTCAGATGATATTATGTCTCTCGTCAAAAGTTGTTTAATATGACTTAGTTATAAATCGGATCATTTATTTATTACCCTCGAGTTAAAATTACACCCAAATGAACGGGACCCTGGATATTGGAAATTTAATTCATCTCTTCTTCGAGATCTTCAC